TACCCACCCCCCCCCTCCCACCAGCTCCTTGCCCTGAAGGACCCGGGCAAAGCCCGGTAAGCCTGCTAGTACTATAATATTGAAAAGATCAGCTACAGAAGGGCTAAATTCTCTGCTGGAATAATTCCACTGAAGTCAAAGGAGTTACACCAACTGATCTCACATCTGACCAGGAGTATATAAACAGTAAAATATTAAGCCACATTTCCCCCCCCTCCCACCAGCTCCTTGCCCTGAAGGACCCGGGCAAAGCCCGGTAAGCCTGCTAGTACTATAATATTGAAAAGATCAGCTACAGAAGGGCTAAATTCTCTGCTGGAATAATTCCACTGAAGTCAAAGGAGTTACACCAACTGATCTCACATCTGACCAGGAGTATATAAACAGTAAAATATTAAGCCACATTTTTCCTTTTACATACAATCAGTCTTGCTGCTGGAAGGTTAAGGTCTATTGTTTTAGGGCGTGATTTATCAGAGCAGATTGAGTTAATAAGATGGATTATTTTTACTGGCAATGAGTACAGTAAGTTATGTGTATTTATGTTGCATATCATAAGTTCTGAGACAATACAAAATTATTCCTGTGTCTAAGTCTTTGTGACCAATAATAGTACTATCCAAGGCATGTTCAAAAATAATTTCAATTAAATTGATGGTCCAATGGAAAAAAAGTCTTTAAATAGGATAATAAAAGCATAAAGTTTGAGTTTAGAGTTCTTCAAATCGAACAGAGTGCTGAATCAAATGGAACAGTTTAGCATATTGCATTAAAATGTGTTGTAAGGCATCTGGCTTAAAAAAAATAAAACAAAAAATTATAAATTAAGAATTCAGGACTGATTTTTGAATGAAGTCTGATCCCAGTTTTTTTGTCCATGCGTGCAATTATGCTAGGGTAAATAATGATGAGTGCAGTTATGTGCAAAGAAGTTGATGTAACTTAGATGTCTAATTGCTTGATATAAAGGCAGCTGAATTATATATATTCTGCCTGTAACTGCAAAACAAATTACTTGTGATTATTTGCCTCTACAACTTTTTTTTTTTAAATCTGTCTTGCTGTCTTTTGAAATATAGTTTGTCCTGATAGAAAAAAGAAAGAATTCTTCAGGAATTATTTTAAGTATTTTGATTTCTGTATTGTATTATATTTGACCTAGGACAGAAGAAATTTTGGGACAGAACAAACCACTATGATTTCCAGAAGAAATACTCTGAAATAGGTTATTTTCAATTAGCCTCAAAATTAATCCGAGGCAGGCTTCCCTAACGTGGATGTGCTACCTTGATTTAGTGCCCCAGGAAGCCCTGGAGAGGAGCTATTTTGAAATAGCAGCAGTGGAGCATTCACCCTACAGCTATTTCAAAATAGCTATTTCAGAATAGGCGTTATTCTTCATGAAATGATGTTTACAGAAGTCAGACTAAGCCAGCGTTATTTCAAATTTATTTCAAAATAATGGAATTGCTGTGTACACGCACCCTTACTCTGTCCCCCAGCCAAAGGACCTGCACTTGTCCCCCAACTGTGTCTACTTCAGCTGCAGCAGCCATGGACAGGCACTTCTCACCCGGCCCCACTTTGCTGTGGTGAGAGAGGGCTGGGGTTAACCTTTCTCCCTAGGCCAGCCTGGATAGTGAACCCCTCATCCACAGCCCCAACCAAGACCAATGATTTAAATGAAGAAAAACAAAAATTAAGTGAAGACCCCAAGCAACACCAGGTAAATCCTCTAGTATTACATAAGTGCACATTATCGCACAATAACCTGTGGTTGAACTCCTGCATATCTTTTAGAAAGACATTCAGTCTTGATTAAAGACTCCAAGCAATAATGTATTTGCTACTTTCCTTGATAATCTGTTCCAAAGGTTAAACTAAGAGTATTGTGTTGGACAAGTATGGCTGTTTTAACCATTGTTAAACTATTCTTGGACTGCATTGGAGACAACTTTTTATTTCAGAAGGTTGAAAAAGCTACCGGGAGCAAGCTGTTCTAGATTTGATCCTAAAAAATAGGGAAGAACTGATTGAGAATTTGAAAGTGGAAGGCAGCTTGGGTGAAAGGGATCATGAAATCATAGAGTTCACAATCCAAAGGAAGGGTAGAAAGGAGAACAGCCAAATAGAGACAATGGGTTTCAGGAAGGCAGATTTTGTTAAGCTGAGAGAGATGATAGTTAAGGTCCCACGGGAATCAAGACTGAGGGGGAAAAACAACTGAGGAGAGTTGGCAGTTTTTCAAAGGGACAGTATTAAGGGCCCAAAAGCAAGCTATTCCGCTGGGTCAGAAAGATAGAAAATATGGCAAAAGACCGCCTTGGCTTAACCATGAGATCTTCTTGCATGATCTAAAAATAAAAAAGAGTCATATAAAAAATGAAAAGTGGGACAAACTACAAAGGATGAATATAGGCAAACAACATAGGAATGCAGGGGCAAGATTAGAAAGGCAAAGGCACAAAATGAGCTCAAAATAGCTACAGGAATAAAGGGAAACAAGAAGACTTTTTATAAATACATTAGAAGCAAGAGGAAGACCAAGGACAGGGTAGCCCCACTGGTCGGTGAGGAGGGAGAAACAGTAACAGGAAACTTGGAAATGGCAGAGATGCTTAATGACTTCTTTGTTTCAGTCTTCACTGAGAAATCTGAAGGAATGCCTAACGTAGTGAATGCTAGTGGGAAAGGGGTAGGTTTAGAAGATAAAGTAAAAAAAGAACAAGTTAAAAATCACCTAGAAAAGTTAGATGCTTGCAAGTCACCAGGGTCTGACGAAATGCATCCTAGAATACTCAAGGAGCCGATAGAGGAGGTATCTGAGCCTCTAGTTATCATCTTTGGAAAATCATGGGAGACAGGAGAGATACCAGAAGACAGGAAAAGGGCAAATATAGTGCCCATTTATAAAAAGGGAAATAAGAACAACCCAAGAAACTACAGACCAGTTAGTTTAACTTCTGTGCCAGGGAAGATAATGGAGCAAGTAATTAAGGAAATCGTCTGTAAACACTTGGAAGGTGGCAAGCTGATAGGGAACAGCCAACATGGATTTGTAAAGAACAAATCATGTCAAACCAATCTGATAGCTTTCTTTGATAGGATAACAAGCCTTGTGGATAATGGAGAAGTCGTGGATGTGGTATACCTAGACTTCAGCAAGGAGTTTGATACAGTCTTGCATGATATTCTTATCAATAAACTAGGCAAATACAACTTATATGGGGCTACTATAAGGTGGGTGCATAACTGGCTGGGTAATCATACTCAGAGAGTAGTTATTAATGGTTCTCAATCCTGCTGGAAAGGTATAACTAGTGGGGTTCCGCAGGAGTCTGTTCTGGGACCGGCTCTGTTCAATATCGTCATCAACAATTTAGATATTGGCATAGAAAGTACGCTTATTAAGTTTGCAGATGATACCAAGCTGGGAGGGGTTGTGACTAACCAGGAGAATAGGGTCATAATTCAAAATGATCTGGACAAATTGGAGAAATGGTCTGAGGTACACAGGATGAAGTTTAATAAAGACAAATGCAAAGTGCTCCACTTAGGCAGGAACAATCAGTCTCACACATACAGACTGGGAAGCGACTGTCTAGAAAGGAGTACAGCAGAAAGGGATCTAGGGGTTATAGTGGACCACAACCTGAATATGAGTCAGCAGTGTGATGCTGTTGCAAAAAAAAGCAAAACATGAATCTGGGATGCATTAACCGGCGTGTTGTGAGCAAGACACAAAAAGTCATTCTTCCGCTCTACTCTGCACTTGTTGGGCCTCAGTTGGAATATTGTGTCCAGTTCTGGGCACCGCATTTCAAGAAAGATGTGGAGAAATTGGAGAGGGTCCAGAGAAGAGCAACAAGAATGATGAAAGGTCTAAAAAACATGACCTATAAGGGAAGATTGAAAGAATTAGGTTTGTTTAGTTTAGAAAAGAGAAGATTGAGGGGGAATATGATAGCCATTTTCAGGTATCTAAAAGGATGTCATAAGGAGGAGTGAGAAAACTTGTTCATCTTGGCCTTTGAGGATAGAACAAGAAGCAATGGGCTTAAACTGCAGCAAGGGAGGTTTAGGTTGGACATTAGGAAAAAGTTCCTAACTGTCAGGGTGGTTAAACACTGGAATAAATTGCATAGGGTGGTTGTCGAATCTTCATCTCTGGAGATATTTAAGTGTAGGTTAGATAAATGTCTATCAGGGATAGTCTAAACAGTATTTGGTCCTGCCACGAGGGCAGGAGACTGGACTCGATGACCTCTCGAGGTCCCTTCCAGTCCTAGTATTCTATGATTCTATGATTGTTAAATTAACCACTGTCATTGTTTAAAAAAGAAATAGATTTTACTTTGTGCCAACAAGAGAAGTCATGTGCTTTAATCATCATTCAAATGGAAGTTGTATGCCCTCTGCCATGACAGTACCACTTGGACCTTAGAATTTCTTAAAATGTCTCCCTATTCTTTATAAAAAATCTCCATTCCTTTATTTTGTTATCTGTGAATTGCCTGCTGTTAGGATTGAAAGTTTTATTCTTTTTATATTTCTTATTTTAGCTATAGTAATGTAGCAATAATATAGCAATATAAGGCATATATATATATTAACATACATTTAATATTTTACAAATCAAGTCCTTTCAGTTGAAGGCCTAGTTTCTTTGTTCTAAAGCAGAAAAACAGTTCTGGGTATTTTGGCTGTGTTTTTAAGATTAGCGGAATTCTGCGAATGTTGAAGGCCAAGCCTTAATTGTTTAATTTTCCAGCGCTTTTGCTTCGCCATGTAGATCTGTAACCCCGGAGACTTGTGTATGTAAGGAGTGTGAATGTGTAAAAGATAAGATGTTATATGGCTTTAGAATCAGATGGCCAAAGAAGGGGCTTGAGTGAGTACAGGTGAAGGCCAGAGGACGAGACAACCTGACTACAGAGGAGTCATCTATAACCATCAATATGTACCCCTACTCACAAAGAGATTGGATAATTGACAGATTGACGAGCCTTGAAGCGGAGCAAGCACCCCAAAAGGACTATTAATTACAGGATGAACCTTCGAGAGATGTTTTGGGAACACTCACATCAAAAGATAACATTCTGGTCGCAAGCTGACAGAGCGGGATCCATGGATTTTAACAGAGAAGAAGGATTATAAATAGCAGGGTGCTTTGCTATGGAACTTTGGGTTTGTCTGCCACACTATCTGGAGAGGAGTATCGGATCGATCAACCGACAAGGTGCTCAATCCTCCCTGTGCTCAATCTACCTGGCCACTAGATTGACACAGACTCTGGACTGGTAACTATGATATCATTTGGCAGGATGATGTATGCATGATGTTTTGTGTGTGTGTGATTGAAAAGCATATGCAACTGTTGTATTCTCAATAAATGCGGCGTATTGCCTTTTCCCCCATAAAAGATCTCGTGTGCTTCGTTTAAGCAAAACACTACTATTGGAGAGCAAATTAAGTAGGCCTCAAGTACAAGCAACACAAGCAACCACTTGCGACTTATTCTTTTTAGAGTCTCCCTGTTTTATTTTTTTTCATATAGGCCTAATTAAGCAAAGAACTTAAGCTTTGTTGCGTTCAGTGAAAAATAAACAAGTGCTTAAAATTAACTGACATTTTGAAAAGTCTGGTATTCCATTTCAATGAAATACATGAGCCCTGAGCCTCAAATCTGTTAACATGACTTTGTCACTTTATAAGTAGGGATGATACATTTCTATTAATTATCTAATCAAATAGTCAATGGGATTTCCATCAACTGTTCAATTAGTCAATAAGGACTAGTGCGGCATTCCACCTTTGAAATGTCAAGATTGAAACATCATGTGGAGTTCCTTGCTGGCCCCAGGCTTCATATGGTGCTTCCGCTTTGAAATGTCTACACTGCACGCTTCTTTCAAAATAAGTTATTCCAGAAGAAATACTCTAGTACTTCAAAGAATGCACTTCAAAGATTGAAACACCATGTGGAGCCTGGGTCCAGAGGGGTGTCCACTGACCCCAGGCTCCATGCAGCATTTCAATCCCACGGAGTTGGAGCTGGAGCTAGAGCTGGGGGGAACCAGCTTTTAAGATGCCTCCCCCCAATATCTCCCCTTCTTCCCCCTTTGCTGCCTCTTTCTGATAGAGGCAGAAAGTGGGGGAAAAGCAACTAGTCGACTAGTGTGTTGACTACCTGATAAGCTTTAGCTAATTGGATAGTTGACTAGTCAATTAGTCGCTTGCATCCCTATTTGTAAGATCAACAGTTTTAAACAGGATTCCGGATTCTGCCCAATATGCACCCAAGAGCTTTCTAAATTTTTACTCCCAGTCTAGTTAAAAAAGGGGGGAAAGGTTGGTTTTGAAGCCACAAATTTCAGCAAATTATTCACTTCCATAGCTTTGTGCTGTACTATAGCTGAATGTATGATTTCTCAGTAAAACCCTAAAATACTAATACAATATTAGTTCATTTCTCTTACCCTTTTACTGGATAGGCGCCTCCTATTGCAGAACCATTAAGCATAACGTATATGACCCCAGAGCTCTGCTTTGCATACTGCAATAGATAACAGAAGATTATTCTTCATAACATTCCCTATACATTTTATATATAGATTGGTTCTAGTCATGGCCAGTGAGGGCATAAGTGAAAATGCTGATGTCGCAAAACTACCATCAAAACTGTTCCCTACCTGGCAGTTGCAGTAGAGAGAACCAGAAATGAGTGGCTACAAAAGGTTATCTGCCTTTTCAACGTAGAAGTGGTTCCCTTCTATGGTTGGGGCACTCTGACAGATCAATATGAGATCAATATGTAGCTGAAGTTGCATACCTTAATTCCACCTTATCCCATAGTGTACACATACCCTTGGATACTAAGCACAGTCTTAATTAACCTAGAGTGGATAGAAGGTGCTGTGAAGAAAGTGAAAAAAACCCTCCCCAGGCCACACCCAGAAAGAGGTGCACATTCAAATAGTCTGTGCTCCAAGTCAGTTCTCTGAGCTGGGGGGATGCAAGCCAATCAGCTGGCTAATAGGTACTGTAGACTACAAATGGAAAAGGAGATGAGAGGAGCTACCCAGAGTCCCTTATTAAGTGTCTCCTTCTCTTACTGCAGGAGCTGTCTTCTTTCGCTGCCTGCTTAATCATCTTTTTCCAACCACTGAAGTGGGTGAGTGGCATGTTTAACACATAAGGTAATTAAGATAAAACCTATGCTTTTCTGGCTTATATTACACCTTTAAGTTCTAATCTATACAGGGCCTTAAGGGTATGCCTAAACTAGCGGTAAGAACCCCAGAAAATATTCGTTTGACCCTATTAAAGCTTTCTGAACTATGCACATATTTAATGAGTGTAACCTGTACGATTTACAGTGATTGATGCAATCCTCCAGAAAGATTCTACTGCATTATTTTCACACTCTTCTGTCATAGGGCAGGAATCATAATCAAATCCTGTGGGAAGAAACGTAGTGCTCATTATTGAAAATATGATGAAAGAAAATTCAAAGTGGCTTTAAAATATACATTGTATGTGACTTAAGATCTGATAGGATATATATCCATGACAGTAAAGCACCATTTTTCTCCTCCCTTTCACTGGTCTTTACATTTTGTACAAACACTTATCAGGAATGGTCTAGATAATACTTAGTCCTGCCATGAGTGCAGGGGACTGGATTAGATGACTTCTTGAGGTCTCTTCCAGTCCTATGATTCTGTGACAGGCTGTGGTCTCAAAACAGCCCCCTGTGTCTATGGAAACTGCGCTGCCTCAAATCATGAAAACTGGTCTGGTGCTCAGAAAGCCCTGGGATTCAGGAAATGAAAAGTTGACTTAAATCCACTTTTGCAACCAGGGGCAGATGACCATTTTGCATGGCCCAGGGCAGCACAATTTCGAGGGGCCCCCCTTTGCCATGGCGCATGCGCAGTGGCGCCATGCGCATGCACGGGGCTTCTTGAAGTGCAGGGCCCGGGATGGCTGCCCCGCTCGCCCTGCCCTATATCTGCCCCCTGTTTGCAACCTCCCTCCAAATTTCAATTTGTGCTTCAGCTGCAGTGAAGTGTAAATGCCTATATAAAGCTGGTGGAGACTCATAACGCTGACCAGAGGAGTTACTCCTGGTTTATGTGGGTATGAGATCAGAATCAGATTCATATCTCCAGTACAAAACAATCAGTGTGTCTTTTAGCCCCACCATGAATTTATAACCAACTCTTCATTGTATTATTTCTTGTCTTACCAGTATCATTTGCTTGTCCACACCAATTTAGGAAATCTCCAAATGAAGCAATTAGAGTATCACACAGAGGCATGTAGCGACGACTTTTATCAGAATAGCTAGTAACCAGCAGATGGTTATTTTCCCAGAACAGAGCCTAAGGAGAGAAAACAAAAGGAAGTACCAAAACCCAAGCCATCCTTTGGATGTGTATGTATGTGATGTGGCAGGGAAAACATTTAAAATAACATTTTTGAAATAATTTCTACAGACTTCAGAATCTCAGCAATGGCTTGGTCTAATCCAACTAATATTAATTAATTAAATACTTTTAAATTTTAGACTTCAATTAATAGAGATCTAGGGACAAATTTTGCCCTAACAATAGTGTAATTCTGGCATAACTTGACAGTGGAGTTGTTGAGGGGATTAACACCACTATGAGAATAGAGCTTGAGCCATAGAAAGACTCAGGGGCTACGTCTACACTCGCGGCTTCTTGCGCAAGAACATCTTGCGCAAGTGTTCTTGTGCAAGAACTCTTGCTCAAGAAAACTCTGGTGGACATTTTAGCCATAGGGCTATCTTGTGCAAGAAATCCCTGCTGAGCATCCACACTGCCCTCTTGCGCAAGAGCTCTTGCACAAGAGGGCTTACACCTGTCAAAAAAGAGCGTAGCTCTTGCGCAAGGAGCCCTCTCTTAGCACGCCGTACTATAAATTTACTTGTGCAAGAGCAGGCGGGCAGTGTGGACGCTCTGCAGATTCTTGCGTAAGAACGGCTGTACTTGCTCAAGAAGCCGCGAGTGTAGACATAGCCAGGGTGTATAGAATTCGCCTGTCTTGAGCTGACAGGTTTAGGAAAAGTGAGACATATAGACACATAGGACTTGTCTATATGGACTTAGCATACAGCAAGCCAAGGTGTGAATCTAAAGCGTGACCATATAGACCCTGCTGTCATGAACTGAAAGTAGCACTATGAAGCGTGTGGCAGCAAGATCCACATGATCATTTAATGTGTGGCAGCACATGCTTCTATATAGACAAGTGATCAATCCAAATAAAATAAAACTAAGGTCTGATCTACATTCCAAAGTTAGATTGGCGTAACTACGTGTGGCAACATAATTGTTGACTTATGCTCTCTTGTAGACACAACTAGATAATGGAAAAATTCTTCTGTCAGCTTAGCAACTGCTTCTCAAAGAGGATGATTTATTATGTGTGATGAGAAGAATCTTTTCCATTTCTGTAGTATCTATGCTGCAGTGGTACAGTTGTGCCATTATAGGGCTTTTCTATAAACATGTCATTTGCAATGGTGACATTGAAATTAGATAGCTCACTTGTCAGGGCTGAATGAAGATATTTACTCTTCAACATGCATAAGAGCTTGGTTTAATTAAAGTGCTTTGAGTGCTTTTATAAACATTTAGCTGTTTAACTGGACACATCCTTATCTGTAGTAGTTCTGACCAGCTTTAAATCACAATTATTTGGTTACAAGTTCACTATTACAGCAACTAATTCTAAACCACATTATATCACCCTCACACTTCATTGATGAGAGGTCAAAGACTAGAACACTGGTTCTCAACCTTTTAGTTTGCAGCCTACACAGTGAGCAAAAAATCAACCCATATCAAATCTGGTCAATTTTGGACTACTAAGATAGGGGAGATATATTAGATGATCATTAACATACTATTGATAATCAGTACCTTGTTAGGTGGAATTGTGTGCACTGACAGGTTAATAAATAACTCATAATCCGATGGTAAAATGTTGCAAGGATCTTTATTAATAAAAGCATTTTTGAACGCTTCCCATATCTCTGTACAGTTCTTCTCACTGAAATAATTAAAACACATAGTAATATTTTCCCATAGCATACCAGCAATATGTGCTTTGTTCATATACTCCCACAGTCCCCAAAAGGAAATAAAACTAAGATTATAAAGTGTGTGTGGGCAGTTTGTAATAAATTAATGAAGTAAATCGGCTAGCATCTAATATATTGCAGGATTTGCAGCTAGATACTTACAGTAATTCAGCAAAAACTATAGGCTTGCTGATGAAAACGGGATTTATTACTTTAAAAATATTCTAACCCCAAAATAACCTTTTGTAGCACAGTTTGGTCACAGTGATTAGAATTGAAACATAGGATTCAGGAAGAGAATCAGAGCCACCCTGTCCATTGGATAGTTTGGGGCAGCCAAAACTATGATGGAGGTGTGTTGTGTGCTGTAGTGCTATAGTGTGTTGTGTGGTTACTGTAAAGAATTTGTTTGAAGCTGGGGTTGTCTGTAAGGAAGAATTAGCCTTTTCCCCAGGGCCTCTGAGAGTGAGGGGTCATTTTCTAGGATAGGTGTAGATTGTTGACAATGCGTTGGAGGGGTTTAAGTTGAGGACTGTAGGTGATCACATAATCATCCAGGAATCCACCCCTGCAATCAGCCCTGGTGCCAACTCTGCACACACATCTATACCAACGATTTCATCACTGGACCCAATGACATCAGCTACCAAATCAAAGGCTCATTTAACTGCACATCCACTAATGTGGTCTATGCCAGCAATGCCCCACTGCAATGCATATTGGCCAAACTGGACAATCTCTACGAGAAAGAATTAATGGACACAAACCAGCTATCCAAAAAGGCAACAAAGTTGGAGAACACTTTAATCTTCCTGAATAGTAATAGAGATGTAGCCGTGTTAATCTGGTCTTGCTGAAACAAACGACAGGACTATGCAGCACTTTAAAGACTAACAAGATGGTTTATTAGGTGATGAGCTTTCGTGGGCCAGACCTATTTCCTCAGATCAAATTTAATCTTCCTGGATACTCATTAATGGATCTCCAAGTCGCTGTTTTGTTTCAGACCAATTCCACAAGCCAAATACACAGAGAGGGATTGGAATTTAAACTTCATTCAGAAGTTCAATTCTCATGCAAATGGTATGAATTGTTGGATGGCTTGCACATTATCAACAAACCAAACAATGAAGGTGCTAATGGTTCTTGATGTCTGTGTAGAATCTGGTGTGAAAACTAATGGTTCTTATCAGCCTCTTTTAACTGTTTAGTCTTTAAGGTGCTACTAGACTGTTTGTTGTTTTTTAAGTCTTTCCTGTTACAGACTAAGTGGGCTATCCCTCTGAAGCTTATCTATTCACTGTCTCTTTTTTTTCCTCCCCTCCAGGACCGGCCCACAACATTTTGGCACCTGAGGCGGGGAGCTCAAATGATGCCCCCTTTCCACCTTTTTTCCTGCCTATTATGTTTCTTGTGCCCTCCTTCCTCCAGCACAGCACTCCACCGTCTCTTTGCATCTAGAGCAGAGAGACTACATATGCACCAGCAGCAGACACAATTTTCTACACTCTGGGTCCTAGTGGTGCCCCCTCGCCCACAGTCTGGCACCTAAGGTGGCCGCCTCAGTTCACTTCCTGGTAAGGCCAGCCCTGCTCCCTTCCATTTTGTTTCCTTCTCCCCCCACCTTCCCTTATTTATTCTTGGATCTGGTCATCTGAAGAAGTGGGTTGTACCCATGAAAACTGATGATACCATCTACATGTTTTGTTAGTGTTTAGGGTGCTACTAGACTATTTGTTGTTTTTTAAGTATAGATGATAACAGCCTTCTACTACTACTACTATTTACTCCCTTAGCTCAAGTGTTAGAGGTATGCACTGTAGATCCAAAGGTCCAGACAATGCTGATGATTTAAATTGGAAGTCTGTATGGCTCCACAGCATGGAAGATCTGATTTTTCAGGTTTGTTTTTTTTAATGTAGGAAATTACATTTTAAAAATCTCTATATTAAAAGAATGTTAAGGTTCAACAGGGTGGTGAGTGGGGGGGGGGGGTTGGAAGTGCAGGGCTCAGGTTGGGGGTGTATGAGTGAGCAGGCTGCGAGTGCGGGGTCTCAGCTGAGGGAGTGTGTGATGGGGCTGTGGGTGTACAGAGGGGGAGATCATGTGGCTCCGGCCCCGTGGAGCACTGGGGAGGAGGCGGGAGGAGGCCACATGGCTCCCTCCTACCCAGGAGCAGGGAGACCGCAGGGTGCATGGCTCCCAGCCACCCAGGATGAGGGAGGGCACGTGGATTCTGGCCACCCTGGGAGGGCAGACGGCTACTGCTCCACAGCAGTGGGGATGGGGAGGGAGAGAGGAGGCAGGGCAGCTGAGAGCAGAGGGGGCAACAGGACAAAGAGTGATATGTCACTCTATCATTCTGCAGGAAAACATTTTTTGTATATATAGAGAGACAAAGTCAAGTATTCAAAAACTAGGAAATGTCAGAATAAAGGATGCCGGTGTAACCTTAATTCAGCCTTTTGTGCATATGCATTATGATAAAATCTTTAACTCATACATACTATTTTTTTCTACAGAACTGCCACCTCATTATTGCACAGGCTGAGTGATAAGGGAATGGACTGCACCCTCAGCAAGTTTGCAGATGACACTAAGCTAGGGGGAGAGGTAGATATGCTAGAGGGCAGGGATAGGGTCCAGAGTAACCTAGTGGATTCTGTCAAAAGAAATCTGATGAGGTTCAACAAGGACATGTGTAGAGTCCTGCACTTGGGACGGAAGAATCCCAAGCATAGTTACAGTCCTGGAGACTGACTGGCTAAGCAGTTCTGCAGAAAAGGACCTGGGGGTTACAGTGGATGAGAAGCTGGATATGAGTCAACGGTGTTCCCTCAGTCAACAATATGTCACTCCTGTGTCAACAAATAAGGCAGAGCAAGAGCATTTCCTCTCTGTCAGGAGGCAGTTCATCTCTGAAAGCGTTACATATAGCATCAGGTTATTCAGTAGCTCAACACTTAAACATTCAGGAAAAACCCAGCAGACTGTCTCTGCAGGAAGTGTGCTGTCAATCACAAATGGGTGCTCAAAGATTCTGTCTTCAAACAATTTTAGTCAAGTGTGACTTCCCACTGCAGATATCTGTGCTACCAGTATGCAAAAAAAGTTCCAATTATTTTGATTCATTAGAGTGATGAGTCTGGGTTTCTTTCTGTCTGTATTCCTAAATCCTTGGAAGAGGGATGTGATACATGCTATTCTACTGATTCCACTATTCCCCAGAGTCCTCAAAAAAAGTGGGACAAAACAAAGCCTTACTAATACTGGTAGAAACAACATGAGCTTGTCCATTTTGTTATTAATTAGAAATTTTATTATGCCTTTGAGCTAGTTTAAGTCATTTAAAGGGAATGAAGTGTGCTTGTAAAGCTGTGTACAGGAGTTGATATGACTGTCATCACAGCCTCCAATCACACGGCCAAATCTTTCAGGCATTATTTCTCAGGAGAAGGAGCAGGTCCTTCACATCGATCCTTTATGCCCACATCAGACTGCATGGAAGCTAGCTGGCTGAGCCTTGTGGACAGAAATGTCTCCTTTGAAGTGTTTTGTTCCATATCTTTATTAATGACCTGGATGAGGGGATGGATTGCACCCTCAGCAAGTTTGCAGATGACACTAAACTAGGGGGAGAGGTAGATAAGCTGGAGGGCAGGGATAGGGTCCAGGGTGACCTGGACAGATTAGAGGATTGGGGCAAAAGAAATTTGATGAGGCTCAACAAGGACAAGTGTAGAGTCCTGCACATGGGATAGAAGAATCCCAAGCATTGTTACAGGCTGGGGACTGAATGGCTAAGTAGCAGTTCTGCAGAAAATGACCTGGGGGTTACAGTGGATGAGAAGCTCGATATGATTCAACGGTGTTCCCTTGTAGGCAAGAAGGCTAATGGCATATTAGGGTGCATTAAGAGGAGCATTGCCAGCAGATCCAGAGAAGTGATTATTCCCCTTTATTCGGCTCTGGTGTGGCCACATCTGGAATATTGTGTCCGGTTCTGGGCCCCCCACTATAGAAAGGATATGGATGCAATGGAGAGGGTCCAGTAAATGGTGACCAAAGTGATTAGGGGGCTGGAGCGCATGACCTATGAGGAGAGACTGAGAGATTTGGGCTTGTTTAGTCTGCAGAAGAGAAGTGGGGGAGGGGGAGATTTGATAGCAGCCTTCAACTTGGGAGGTTCCAAAGAGAATGGAGAAAAGCTGTTCACAGCAGTGAGGGATGGCAGAACAAGTAGCAAAGGTCTCAAGTTACAGTGGGAGAGGTCTAGGTTGGATATTAGGAAAAAGTATTTCACTAGGAGGGTGGTGAAGCACTGGAATGGGTTACCTAGGGAGGTGGTGGAATCTCCATCCCTAGAGGTGTTTAAGTCTCGGCTTGACAAAGCCCTGTCTGGGTTGATTTAGTTGGGATTGGTCCTGCCTTGGGCATGGGGCAGGACTTGATGACCTCCTGAGATTTCTTCTAGCTCTATGATTCCATGCTCTGGGGATGAATCAGAGCTGTGTAGTAAATGAGGCTGTTTAATGTAGGACCTCTGCCTCGTGTGGTACAAAAATTGGAAGTTTCATATTTCAGAGGACTACAGGAAGATAAATGATGGTCTATTTAAAGAAGCTGAATACTACAATGGAGCACTGGATTCTATAGTGACTGTGCCAGAGAGTTGTTATGTGATGTTGGGGACCCTTAATTCTGGCATTTCCTAACTTTGCAGTGCTTGACTTTGCAACCTTAATGTGGTTTTAATGTCATTTTGAGATACACTGGACTCTATATGCATATAAATTACTATAATATTTACCCGGCATTGTTCGAGTCCTTAACTCAATTAATTTTGATTTTTGGAAAATAAAATGATAATGTACATGCTTCATTGAAATCATTGCTCTGGGGTGTGAGAGGGGATAAGGGTTCAGTGAACTACCCCAGCCCTCTCTCAGCAGCAACTTGGGGCCAGGTGAGAAGCATCTTTTAATGGGTGCCGCAGAGGGCACAGCTGGGGAAGGAGTGCATATTCCTTGGCTGAGGCAGGTCCAGGTTTGTCTGTCCCCTGCACTTCCCAGCAAGAGTATGGAATGCAGCAAACTGACGAAGGGGAACAGCCAGCAATATCCCCATATGAATCATGGTGGTGGGTGGGGGTGGAGTTCTTCAGCCTCCCTTCCCCTTAAAGGGCACCTGGAGATTGGGAGACTCAGGGGTGGGCAGTCCCAGATGGGGGGTACCCTCAGATTATGAAACTGATGGGCAATAGTTTATATCCTAAATAATTCTCTTAAGGTAGAAAGAATTTTCTCTGATTAAGGTAATTCTACGTCTTGCTAAGTAGGTGCATTGTTATTTCTTATCTTCTGCTGAACAAGGTTTGAGAAGAATATTTAACTTCCAGCCTAGGTTTTCACCTGGAATAATCTTTTGTAGATCCATACTGGCTGGTTCAGTTACTAGATTTATACCTATTATTTTCTTCCTGATATTCTTTGTCACATTTTGTTTCTCCTTTTTTCTTTCTTCTAGAAATCTTTGTAAGGCTTGGTCTACACTGCAACAGGTCGAATTAAGATATGCAACTCCAGCTAGGTTAATTACTGATAGAGACTGATGGGAGCAAATGCTTTTATCCGCTTTCCGTATATCTTGTGAGGAGCAGAAATAGCAGCACCTATAGGGGCACCCTTTGAGTTTGATTTAGTGGATCTTCACTAGACTCTCTAAATCAAACCCTGGAAGATGGACCGCAGCAGCATCCATCTTCCGTGTAGTGTAGATGTGCCCTAAAGGTCTCTTTCCAGAAGTTTTCTGCTCTAATCTCTGTGGAACTAGCTTTTTCTTTGCCCCCTTTCCTACAAAATGTTACTTTATTCAGAACAGACGAATGTCTTGTATTAATACACTTGTTTTTTTGGCTTTGGGTGCATCTGCGCTGCACCCTATACTCGAAATAAGATACGCAATTTGTGCTACGCAAATTGCATATCTTATTTCAATTTTAGTTTGAAATAGCTTATTTTGAAATGTGGCGCATCTTTGAAATAAATAGTCCCAAATTTTGAAACAAAGTACTATTTCGAGCCATCCCTTGTCTCTTGTGCAACAAGGTTTGCCAGGATGGCGAAACAGCGTACCCATTATTTTGAAAACAATTTCGAAATAATTGGCAGCTTGTGTAGACACAGGGTAGCAGTACAGACATACCCTTTGTCTGAAAGGTGCATAAGCCTTGTTTTAATTTAAACATTCCAGTAATTACCCTATTACAGAAAAAGATCAGAATCTTCAGTCTTTGTGAAAACGTGTTCTAATGAAACCCTGGGTCACAACTAATTTCAGCTAAAATCCTATTTAACACTCATCTCACTAGTTTCAACATTTTTTCATCATTATTATTCATACGGGTCCACAAGTCTATCATTCATTGGAACTTAAATTTAGGATTGATGTCATACAGTTAATTACTATGAGAAACATGTCAATACAGCCAGATTTAGGTTATCAGAAGCTAACATACCTTATAACATAAAGCACAAGAGGGTTAAATTAGATATCCCATTCCGTCAGCTTTTCTTTTGCATTTTAGGGACATTAATGAAAAAAGATCAGCAAAAGTCTGAAGTACTGCTGACAAATAGCTTCCCCCATCCCTGTAATATATTTATTTTACTAGATTTCTTAAAGATGATTTTTGGATTTCTTAACAACTACAAATATGTAGGTTTCAACGGGACTACTCACATGATTAAGACTGTCGTACCAGACCTATGATTTGTAAAACCATTCAAGTGTGGAGACTGATTCAGAAAGAAAAGTACTTACCCAACATTAGGATTCACAAGTCTAATGTATTCATAACACCTTCCAATTACAATGCTCTCCAGGTTAGGTGTGGTACCTTCACCTTTCCATTTCTTCCTGTCTATTTCTGTAGGTTTAACATAGTCTTTACTGAAAAGAAGGCCTACTAACAGAGACAAGAAGAAGCTGTTCATGTTATTGTGAGAACTAAAGTAATAAAGAAATAAAATAATCAAATGTCCAAATGGGAAAGAGAAGATTGCAGGTTTATGTTTGTCTATCAATACAGGCTGTGGTCTTGAACTTGAATGATTCTTGATGCAGAGTATCCTGGAAAACAAACTTTGTTGTGAAATGCAACAGCTTCCTGGGACTATTGCAGTGCTGAAAGTCCTTGAAAAGTCCAGCTTGTAAAACTATACATACTATTGCCATCTTGTGACTATTAAATAATATTACACCTCCTCTAAAGGAAACATATCACTAATGTAGTATTAACAAAAATTCAGATTTGCTGAATATACATTGCACTATATAGAAAACATGGCAAGTTGCTCCAATGAAAATATTTTAATATCATTTGATTTCAGTGTTACAGTGCTTACATACCTTTTCTACTGAATGCACAATTTGCTGAAATAACAATAAGTCTGGTAGAACTTTAAAGACTAACAAAACATGTAGATGGTACATGAGTTTTCATGGGCACTGTCCACTTCTTCAGATGACCTGTTACAGACTAACTACCCCTCTGAAGCTTTTGAAATAACAACGTCAAGAATAAAATGAGACACAAGATTGATGAGGTAATATCTTTTATTGGTCCAACTTCTGTTTGTGAAAGAGACAAGCTTCTGACCTTAAGAACTGCTCTGTGTAGCTTAAAAATGTGTGTCACCAACAGAAGTTTAACCAGTAAAAGATATATAATACAATCAGCCTAGGTAACATGGGTATTGTCCATATCTTTTTATTTCTGCATGGATTCTGCAACAAAGCTTTTGTTGTGATAAGACAGATTATAAAATGTTCCTTATGAAGAAAACTGGAATCAATGATACTCAGAACCAAATAGATTAAACTTGACATTCTGTGTACTGTACTGAAGAAATGGCATTGATTTACATATCTGTATTCTCAACCCATTGTCTGCCTACCCTGGATAAGATCTTGATCAGATCTTCTGCTGATGTAAATCAATGGAATTCCATTGTCAATTTTCTTATATTGTGCAGAGACTACTTTGTCATCCTGTGTACAGTTTGCTTATGGATGTGACAACTTGGGATATACACCTTTGGCTTCCTTTCTTGTAGTAGCATATCCCTTAAGTCCTCATTCAACTCTCTAGTTATATCAGAGTACGTCAATATGCTTGTACTAGTAGATAACTGATTCATTTTATTAAAGACAGAATTTTCTTAATTGTCTTTCTTTAGGGGAACTCTTAGTGGTACCAAGGTCTTCCACAAATTGTAGTAAAAAGTTGGCAAGGTGATTTGCCGTTGTTACTATATTTCCAAGTGAGCATGATTCTTAAGTAGCTTCACCTCAGAAATTGATGCCACTTTTTTGCAGTGTTGGTCTTGATACACTCATGAGACCAAATAATCAGTATACTGTACGTCAGCTAGTGTTATGCATTTGTCCAGATTTCACTTGATCACCTTTTCCCTAGATTGCTGGAGCATGGCATATAGATTGACTTCAGACATCAAAATATTATCCACAATGGCTCCAAGTGTGCCAAGTCTTGCTTAGGCTCATAGCATGAAATTCTGGCTTCATTGAAATTGATGGGAATTTTACTATTTACTGCAGTGAAGCCTGGATTTCACCAATAGATTTTAAGGCCAGAGTGAACCATTGTGATCTTCTGGTGTGACCTTCTGCATAATACAGGCCATAACACATCACTGAATGAATCTTATATCACACCCATAAGCACTGGTAAAACTAGAGTATATCTGTGACAGGTTTGATCAGAGAGGACCCCCTTAGGGTTGTCATATAGTGTGCTGTTCATGCCACAGAGCCCACCTATCTACCCACCACCCTATCTTGCTGAGCCAGAAGCGCTGGTCTCCCCTAGCTGAAGACCCCCTAGAGTTGGAGTAGCAGTCCCCCATCCTGCAGAGTAAGATAGATGCTGAACCAGCTCAGTTCAAGGAGGGCTCAGTTATAAGGTGATTGACAGCACTCAGAAACACAGCCCCAAAGAGGAACACAGCCCCAGATAAAATCCATCTTACTCTGTATAAAAGTTTTACACAGAGAAGGCTTATAAGTTCACCCTCTTTATCAATGAAAGAGAGAGGTGCACAATGAGGTGCACAGGTAACAATTATTTACACTGGGCTTGATAATAAACAAAAGTGTTTTTTATTAAGTATAAAAAGTAGGATTTAAGTGAATGCAAGTGAAAACTAACAGTTTGAAATAAGTTACTAAGCCAAAATAAACAAAACATGCCAGCTAATTCTAATACACACAGGCTATGGCTACACTCGTGGTTTTTTGCGCAAAAAATATGCACTTTCCGCTTTCATTTTGCTCCTGGATGCACTGGATTGGTGTGGGTTGCTGGGGCTGCAGCAGGGTTTGGGTCCTACACTTCCCTGGAGATGCCTGGGGCACAACACTGGTGGAGCAGGGAGCTGGTGTGTTCCCATTTCCCCCAGGGCTGGTGGGACTTTTAGGTTTGGGCTCCTGGGGTGGCAGGGAAGTAGGTTCTGTGTTTGGGTCTTCAGCTCCATTTCTGAGCTCCAGACCCATGGCTTCTGGCTCCATGCCTGGGCCCTGTCCCACGCCTGCAGAGCTTTGGGCTGTAGCTACAGGCTCCAGCCCCCTGCTGCCTCCCCGCTTGACCTCCAGTTGCTCCCCTTACCTGTAAGCAGTCGGACACGACCTCCCCCCTCCTCCTCACTGGCACCAAGCTGACTGGACATACTCCTCTGCTTTCCCTTTCCCTTTGACCCTATCTCTTCTTAAGGATACAGCTAGACTGTGAGGATCTATTGGAAAAAGATACACTTTTGTCAAAAGAGGCTTTTCCAAAATTTGGCCCATCTAGACTGGGCCAAATTCCGGAAAAGCCCCCTCTTTCAAAAGCTGCCTTCATCCTCGTGGAACGAGGAATACAAAGCAGAAGAGCAAATACATTCCCCTGGTATCCCGAAAACCCGCCACAGTCTAGCCATACCCTTAGTTACGATTTATGTGAAGTCTTTAACATGTCTTTGGTATGTTAACCCATAGTATTTACATTAGGTCCTTTTAGTATGTCAAGTAATTCAATTTATGATAGGTTTCTGGTTATTTACCTAGAAATCATATTGCTTATATATATGTCTGTAACTTGTGGAATGTATGTGGGGTGTGAATGAGAAATACCCAGCCAAAAAGGCAGTTTAGAGCCTGTGACCTTTTAAGGCAGACAAAGACCCTGCAAGCAGATAAATTAACTGAGAAGGGGCCAGAAAATAAATCTCTCGCTCTCACACACACAAAATGTAACATCGCAGCAGGAACCTGGGACAGGCCCAGAGAAGCCTCCTGCAGATCTGAAGGGATCTCCCAAGGAGCATCATGGTGGAGTCCCTGGGAAGTTGATGCCTGGCCAGCACTCCAGCCACCAGTGAAATCAAAAGTAATCAAAAGTAATCTGCCGCGAAACAGCCAGCATGAATTTGATGTGTATGTGTGAGAGTATCACTTTACTCTTAAGAGCCTGTACCAATAAACAACCCAAAAGCAATACTGCTCCAGCTCACCCTTTGTCTGCATTTGTTGCTCAGCAGGTCTGGGGTAGTGAGACATTAGCCACCGTCCAGGGCTCAGTCTGCCCCCAGGCTTGCCAGGGCTAAGTGCATCTGCTGTGAAAAGTGATGCTTGCTATGTTTGTTACTATCACTTTTCACAACTCTTCCTAGCTAGCTATAAATAAATTACAATGATTTGGATGTGTACATAGGCACATTTGTTTGTTTTTCCTAAAGTTAATTAAGTATTTTAGGAAAAACTGTGAGAGCAGCCTCCAGCAAAAGTCGGTGGCTGCACTCTGAAGCCACCAAAAAATTTGCTCTGAGGCAACAGACAGAAGCAACTGGTTGGATGGGATCCCAGTGGGCCACCAGCCATGTGACCACCCTCAGCCCAGGGAAGAGCTGAAACAACTCCCCTTCTGCCCAGGGCCTGCCTCTTCACTCTTCCACTGTCCTGCCCTCTACTGACTCTTTCACACCTTTGCTTTGCCCCCACCCTGCCTCCTCTCCCAACAGAGGTGGACCAGGTCACTAGCAGGGCCAGCCCTGGCAGCAGGGGTCCATCCTCACACTCACCATTAGTGGTGAGGGAAGTGGAGCAAGGTGACCCACTGCTTTGCTCCCCCAGCTGCCACATCACTCCACTCCCACTGGGGGATGTGGAGCAATCCTGCTCCCTCCCCCCAGCGTGGTACAGCCAGGAGAGCAAAGCAGCATGGAAGCCTTGATCCGCTTTCCCAACCACTACCAGTGAGTGTGTGGGGGGAGGGGGGGAGGCGGAGAAGGCACAGACTCCTGCTGTGGGAGCCTGGCCCTCCCCGGCTGGTTGCTGGATGGCCCCTCCTGTCTCTAGCATTTTGTTGGGGTGGGGGCATGTGATCCCTTGTGGCCCCATATGATGTCCCGATCCCTGATCTATCTTCATTCTCCACCCATTAGATCTCATTATGCTGTTTTCTGATAGATTTAAGCTACCTCTTAATCAATGTTCCCTCTAAATTTTCCCATCCATGTGCAGAATACATTTACTTATGTACACCAAGACATGTGCACATGTACACCACCAATAGAAACACATGCTGCTGATTCTGGTCAGCTGTGTGCACTCTGCCAGTCAGCTGGGTGGCACCTGAATCTCTCCTGGGCTGCTGCCCAAGTGCTCACATTACAGGAAACACTGCTCTTAATCCCTCCTTTCATAAATTAATAGATTGAGCTTTAGACTCCTGCTGTTAGGTGTTTACTCCTGTAGCAGCTGCACCACACTGGGAGTTCATGTTGAGTTGGCTATCCTCCATGACTCATAAAGTCACTGTAAAATACTGCCCCCTATTGAGTGCTATATGTTGTTTCCAGAAGTATGACCTTGCATTTGACTGTATTAAAAAGTACTTTGTTCAAATACAATTTTTGAAGTGATCTCAATCACTGTTTCTGAATCTTTTTGATACAAGGGACAGCTTGCTGCCTTTCTAAACTGTGTCATAAAGATCTCAGGGACCAGTGCCAGTTCATGGACCAGAGGCTGAGAAACACTGATCTAGATCATTATGTAGGACTGACCTATCATTATTAATTTCTCCACCATTTTTGTGTTACTTGCTTACTTTGCCAACAATTTTATATATTTTATCCAGTTTATCTATAAAGATATTGACTAGCACCGGGGACTCCACTAGAAGCACCTCAGTT